AATCATAGAAATGGTTTCCTCATGAAGAAATCAGATCTACTCTTGACCCAATGCACCAAGAAACCATGAAATCGCCATCGGGGAGAAACCACCCGTTTCTAGGGAGCTCGTGTCGCAGTCTTATTGGAGTAAGAAGATAGAGTTGGGAGAGAGAAAGAAAAAATAATTATTATTCATAGAAACCATTGGTTGAAAAGCAGTACTTTATTTAGTACGGTGCCCTATATTATAGAAACCGCTTGTTCTTCTTGAGACTGCCCTAACGTAACGTCGCGAGGCCATTCTGGTAATCTAGCATTTTCGCGCAGCCGATAAATGGGGCCGCACCCACCGCCTCGCTCTCCACACAAACTCAGCCTGCCTGCTTAAGCAGCCCCGCGAGCGAGCCAGCTAGTGAGACTGTGAGGGACGAGAGCTAGAGAGCGAGCGAGATGGCAGCCACGGTTTCCTTCCCGGTGGTGAACATGGAGAAGCTGGAGACCGAGGAGAAGGCCACGGCCACGGAGATCATCCGCGACGCCTGCGAGAACTGGGGCTTCTTCGAGGTGTGCATATATACACGCTGCTAACACCAAGCACACAACAATTAACCAACGCACATGCATCGCACCTCACAAGTAATCTACCACACGGCAGGAAGAATTTAACTCACTTCACTTGTTTGCCTGCCCTGGGCGCCCTTTGTTCAGCATCAACTCGTTCTGTCTGTCTTATCTGTGCTAGCGGCGCCGTTCCAGAAAAGAAAGCAAAGCATTCCTAGCTAGTAGCTAGCTTTACCTAACAAACAGCCACCTCGAACGTACAGATTCCTATTCTCCATGCCATCGACCGGCCGACCAATTTGATTCTACCACCTCAGCTGCGTCTCTCGGCCTGTCGATGGGAACACCACCTCACCTCTCACGCCTGGCTTGTCTTGCCCCCATGCAGCTGCTGAACCATGGCATCTCGCACGAGCTGATGGACGAGGTGGAGCGGCTGACCAAGGCGCACTACGCCATCTTCCGGGAGGCCAAGTTCCAGGAGTTCGCGGCGCGCACGCTGGAGGCCGGCGACAAGGGCGCCGACGTCAAGGACGTGGACTGGGAGAGCACCTTCTTCGTCCGCCACCTCCCGGCCTCCAACCTCGCCGACCTCCCCGACGTCGACGACCACTACAGGTGAGTGTGTGCGTTCAAACTTCAAACACTTACACTACGTGCTAGCTGATGCGCGTCATTAAATTAACGACGTGCGTAGTTCGTATCGTATTAATTAGTAAGTTGGCTGTCTACGACCCAATCAGTCTTTTGTTAAAGTTTTTGTTGGCTTCTGGCGGAAAGTTCAAAGTGCCATGTCAACAGCTTTTGACTCTCGTCTCTGAACCAGTTTTTTTAGTCTGCCTGCTTGGGTGACTTTGGTCTAACAGGCTGAGCTAGTTTAATGGCTTTGATCAAGCCTACAAAAGCTAGCTGACGACGCCACCTATCGTGCTATAGGCCCAATCAAACGCTTTGTACACGTCTCAGATCAGAAAAAAGGCTCTAAATTCTACCTGACCTGACGTGACCAGACCTGCTCCTATTAACGGTGGTGGTAGTAGCGTGTGTTCCATCTACAGTATCTTAATTCTGCCTGACGGCGACGCGAATAGTTATCCGATAGATCATTTCGTTGCTTGACAGGTGTTCATCAGCAGATAGAATGCTGTGTTAGTCCAGTAACTATCACAAGTCGAATCACTTTTTAGCGGGTGACAGACAGTGCGATCGATACATGGACGACGCGCTTATTTGCTTGGTGGAATATTCCTCCCGGCCCGTGTTTAAAAAGCCTTCCGTGTCGCTGCAGGCAAGTGATGAAGCAATTCGCATCGGAGATCCAGAAGCTGTCGGAGAAGCTGCTGGACCTGCTGTGCGAGAACCTGGGCCTGGAGCCCGGGTACCTGAAGTCGGCCTTCGCGGGCTCCAACGGCCCGACGTTCGGCACCAAGGTGAGCGCGTACCCGCCGTGCCCGCGCCCGGACCTCGTCGACGGCCTCCGCGCGCACACCGACGCGGGGGGCATCATCCTGCTGTTCCAGGACGACCAGGTGAGCGGCCTGCAGCTGCTGAAGGATGGGGAGTGGGTGGACGTGCCGCCCATCCGCCACGCCATTGTCGTCAACATCGGCGACCAGCTGGAGGTGATCACCAACGGGCGGTACAAGAGCGTGATGCACCGCGTGCTCACCCGCCCCGACGGCAACCGCATGTCCATCGCGTCCTTCTACAACCCGGGCGCCGACGCCGTCATCTTCCCGGCACCCGCGTTCGTCGGTGGCGCCGCCGACGAGGAGGAGCGCGCTGAGGCCACGTACCCGAGGTTCGTGTTCGAGGACTACATGAACCTCTACGTGCGCCACAAGTTCGAGGCCAAGGAGCCACGGTTCGAGGCCATGAAGTCAGCCATCGCCACCGCGTGAACAAACGCTACTGCCTTCTGCCTTGCTTCTCCCTTCGTGGCGTGCATGCTTGAGGCTTCAACGAACAATGTCCATGTGCTTATATTATAGTGGCACGGTTATATATGTGTGTATCGATGGTGGAACGGCGTAATGTATTTTTGTTGTCTCAGATCTATATGTACGTATATATGGTGTATTGTAAAGTGTGTAGCGTTTGATTACTGTATGAGAAGTGTGTACGTGACCCGGACCTGGTGTGTACTGCCAAATCAAGTGAGGGAACACGAATTATTAGTAATACATATATGTGAGTTATGTGGAACCTCAAACTGAACCTTTTTTTTGAAACACGAATTCGAACTTCATTACTCAGCAGAATCGCTGGTCACCAAATCCTCAACAAAGTGAGGTACATCATCCCAAGTGATTCACATATCACTTGAACACTTACACACATAAGCCGCAATGGCATCCGCTACTTTATTAAATGAACGTGGGCATACACACACTTTGAGCAAAAGCCGGAGTTCAGTAGTAATCCCACTCATGGCCGATAGGCGATAAGCATCATCCTCCAGGGCTGCTTTCACAAGAGAGGCATTGGTCTCAAGGACTACTCTGCGAATTCCCAGCTGAGCCGCTGCTTTAAGGCCAGCCAAGCAGCCAAGCAATTCTGCATGGAAGGCACTCTGTATAAATTGTTCTTTACCTGCACCTGCAGTCACCACGGTGCCCTGGTCATCGCGAATGATGAAACCCCAGCCGCCCGATCCGTTCCTGTGGTCGAAAGCCCCGTCAGAATTAACTCCTACCTGTCGCGCCAATTGTCGGTGTTTTGAGTATGCACCAACTAGTAAATTTGTATTTGTTATGCGTTAGGTCCGGATGGTGTGCTAAAAGACACAAGGTTTATACTGATTCGGGCAGAATGTCCCTACGTCTAGTTTGCTGCTGCTGCTCGTGTTATTAGCACTGAAAGGTGTATAAACGGCCGAGAGAGGGACATGTCCCAAATCTCTGATGGAAAGGTCAAACGGGTGCTAAGAGCTTAGATGCTGCCTAGCTGTGTGGTGTGATGTGTGTTGAATCGATCCGTCTCTTTAGTGAGGTGCCCTGCCCTTTCTTTTATAGACCAAAGGAGGAGTAGGGATTACAGATGGGAGAAAGAGAAAAAACTAGAGGCAGAGAAGGTCATTCGAAGGTGCCGGATCTTCCTTCTCCTTTGAGCCTGCCCTGCAGACATAGCAGACGGTGCCAGAGATGACATGTTCGCTGATCCTGATAGGACCGTGCTCTGGCTTCGCTCGGCAAGTGGTAACATCCCATCTCACTTGGGCGGGCGGCGCGGAGCACCAGGGTGCCAAGCCGCGACCCTATGGGGAGCAGACGACGTAGAGGTCCCACGTTCCTTACCGTAGATGACACGAGTTTCCTTCTTGGACCATAGCGGTTATCGTATGTTTCCGTCAGGATTCGTGTCCGAGGGCAAATGCCGGCGCCCATAACACTATAGGACAAATGTCGACGCCCACAACACTGTTTGGGCTCTAACATGCCTGGAAGGGCTTAAAGCGCCTGTCTGTTCATATCCTGATGGTACTTCCCTGTAGGCGTGCAGGATATGGTCCTTGATATCGGTTGACTTGAGTGCCCCGCCTTATCTGCATGTGTATTTATGAAGGAGTAGCGCATAGACATCGGGCGAGGCGGAGCCTATCCCTCGGACGTCGGGCGAGGCGAAGTCCAGCCCTTGGGGGTCGGGCGAGGCGGAGCCAGCCCTTAGGGGTTGGGCGAGGTGGAGCCAATCTTCAGTCGTTTGGGCAAAAAGTGTAGCTGTGTTCTTGTCTGTTCAGAACCATTAACGTTTGACGGTTATTAACTCCTCCTTTTTGGGTACCCTAGTATTAGGTCCTCGACAGTAGCATCCGAGTCCCTGGGTGATTCGGATAGAATCGTCCGGGGGTGGTTTGATTTGCCAAAGGGTGCGCGCGAGCGCACCCGACGGGTGTAGCCCCGAGCCCTCGGGTGATTCGGATAGAATCGGCCGGGGGGGTATTTCGATTCGCCAGAGGTTGCGCGCGAGCGCACCCGACGGGTGTAGCCTCCGAGCCCCTGGGTGATTCGGATAGAATCGCTCGGGGGTATTTCGATTCGCCAGAGGCCGAGCCTCCGGGTGATTCGGATAGAATCGCCCAGGGGTATATCGATTAGCCAGAGGGTGCGCGCGAGTGTGTACAAAGCGTTTGATTGGGAATATAGCACGATAGGTGGCGTCGTCAGCTAGCTTTTGTAGGCTTGGATCAAAGCCATTAAACTAGCTCAGCCTGTTAGACCGAAGTCACCCAAGCAGAGACTATTCAGACTAAAAAAACTGGTTCAGAGACAAGAGTCAAAAGCTGGTGACATGGCACTTTGAACTTTCCGCCAGAAGCCAACAAAAACTTTAACAAAAGACTGATGGGGTCGTAGACAGCCAACTTACTAATTAATACGATACGAACTACGCACGTCGTTAATTTAATGACGCGCATCAGCTAGCACGTAGTGTAAGTGTTTGAAGTTTGAACGCACACACTCACCTGTAGTGGTCGTCGACGTCGGGGAGGTCGGCGAGGTTGGAGGCCGGGAGGTGGCGGACGAAGAAGGTGCTCTCCCAGTCCACGTCCTTGACGTCGCCGCCCTTGTCTCCGGCCTCCAGCGTGCGCGCCGCGAACTCCTGGAACTTGGCCTCCCGCAAGCTGGCGTAGTGCGCCTTGGTCAGCCGCTCCACCTCGTCCATCAGCTCGTGCGAGATGCCATGGTTCAGCAGCTGCATGGGGGCAAGACAAGCCAGGCGTGAGAGGTGAGGTGGTGTTCCCATCGACAGGCCGGGAGACGCAGCTGAGGTGGTAGAATCAAACTGGTCGGCCGGTCGATGGCATGGAGAATAGGAATCTGTACGTTCGAGGTGGCTGTTTGTTAGGTAAAGCTAGCTACTAGCTAGGAATGCTTTGCTTTCTTTTCTGGAACGGCGCCGCTAGCACAGATAAGACGGACAGAACGAGTTGATGCTGAACAAGGGGCGCCCAGGGCAGGCAAACAAGTGAAGTGAGTTAAATTCTTCCTGCCATGTGGTAGATTACTTGTGAGGTGCGGTGCATGTTCGTTGGTTAATTGTTGTGTGCTTGGTGTTAACAGCGTGTATATATGCACACCTCGAAGAAGCCCTAGTTCTCGCAGGCGTCGCGGATGATCTCCATGGCCGTGGCCTTCTCCTCTGTCTCCAGCTTCTCCATGTTCACCACCGGGAAGGAAACCGTGGCTGCCATCTCGCTCGCTCTCTAGCCCTCGTCTCTCACAGTCTCACTAGCTGGCTCGCTCGCTGGGTTGCTTAAGCAGGCAGGCTGAGTTTGTGTGGAGAGCGAGGCGGTGGGTGCGGCCGGAAAATGCTAGATTACCAGAATGACCTCGCGACGTTACGTTAGTACTTGTATAATTCAGTCAAATGGATTTGGATGCCAAGTACGCATTCGCAAATAAAAAGCAGTCTGGACGTATATAGCCCGCGATGCGCTGATGTCGGCTGGCTGGCTGGCTGGAGTGCTGGACGCCTGGACGTGTGCACGGCGATTATGCAGACTACCGGAGATGGAGACAAGTCCTCTAAGGATTATTGCAACTGACCAGCTAATTATGCTGGATATGATGTAGTATGATATTGTACGATATCACGGCTGTGATGCTATTCTATGACCTATCCAGCCTAACCTCATACTACTTTAGAGGTTGATTGATGTGGTCAAGACATGCATAAAGAGATAGTGGCACGCATACGTACATACACTAGCTACACCGATTCTAAAGTACGTGGACTTTTAAGCACGGATTTGAATACTGTTTTGCTTGTTTTTTTCGGTCACCATCGCACCTACCAAAATTCGCTAATTCCTGTTTCTTTTTTCTTGTCCCAAATTCGAGCAAAAGTAAATTTGGTTTTATATGGTATTAGAACTTCAAAACAACCCAAATATCCGGCTTATTTAATCATTGGAGCCCAATCTTAAGGTCAATTCTTTGTTATGAATTATATATTTTTTAGACCTACATGTGAGGCACATAAGTTTGGGATCTAAGGCATGTTTGGTTGGTGGCGGTGTCCATGCACCTAGGCCAGGCAGCACCCCTAGGTGTTCGATTTTAGAAGCTCGGGGCCAGGATGGCTTGCGTGGCCAGGCATTGTTTGGGAGGCCGTGATCCAAACTAGCCCTTGATATCTAGACCTCGTGATAGGTGGAGCTGAGTGATTTGCACCACAATATGTTTGGATTTAGCCGGTAGTATTTTGGCCCGGCAGTGTCAAAATTAATGACATGGTTTGTTGTCCGGCTAGACAACTCTGCTTGAAGGGACCACCAAAGACCCGAAATGACATGATTTTGCGTTATATGACTGCATATGCCATATTTAAGCTGTGCAACCATGTATGGTTGTATCTGCACTAATATATGGATGGTCAATTCACTTCGTCAGTACTGATTTTTTGAAAGAACCGATTGGTACAGACTTTCCTGAGAACCGAGGAATCGAGGATTTGGTTCGGTTCGGTTCGGTAGTACCGAATGCCCAGGGTTCACGGGTAGGGGCCGGATCAAACTCGTCGCTGAATCTCTCCGATGTACACGATCTTTCAAGCGTGTTCAGTTCGTTCTTGCCTTCTTCTTGGCCCAATCGTCCTTGAGACCGCGTGTGAGTGGGTGAGCTTTTACCTGTTCCCTGTCACGCCAATTTCGGTGTTGCAGAACTCTGTGGGTGAGGAAAGCTGACAAAAGCATGGGACGAGATGAGACAACACTCGAGACAGACGCTTTTTACTATGTTGACAGGATGAAAATCACCGCTCCTTCCATTCCAAAATAGACGGACTCTTTTAAATGTCATATTTACTATATGTCTTATTCAGTTTTTAATAGTAATATATAAATAAGTCATTATAAAGTATCTCTAATAATAAAATAAGTCATAACAAAATAATAATATTTATATAAATTTTTTGAATAAGACAAACAGTGAAATAAGATGTTTAAAAGTAAAAAACATCAAGTCTTTTGAGATGAAAGGAATACTAATACCGGAGCATTTACTTTTATATACATGTTCGGCCAGGTTTCTTCTAGCGCCGGCACTGTAACACATTGTTGCAGAAGAAGAAGGAGCCCTAGCCCTAGAACCGCAGCTCCGCGGATTCCGTGACCACACATGAGGTGGAGCTATTGTGCGGATGCTGCGGTGCAATACAGTAACACATAGTGACATGAGAAGCCAGAGGCGCACAGACAGAGTCCGACCAAAGACACCTTAATATAATTCGAAGCTTTTCTGCTAGGTTTGATTTATGAAAATCTACACAGAGCACATATGAATAGGAGTATCATCAAACCATTGTAGCTGCATGCCTGGCTTGCATAGTAAGGCTAGTAGTGATACCTTTTGTCGGGGTGTTTTCGGATCACCGACGACTAAATTTGTATTTACACGTCCGGCTCGGATGGTGTGCTCGGAGGACACAAGAGTTTATACTGATTAGGGCGGAACGTCCTGTCGGTGTTTTCGGACCACCGACGAGTAAATTTGTATTTACGCGTCTGGCTCGGATGGTGTGCTCGGAGGACACAAGGGTTTATACTGGTTCGGGCGGACCGTCCCTACGTCCAGTTCGCTGCTGCTCGTGTTACCAGCACTTGGTTTGCAGTAGGGGTTACAAACAGGCGAGAGAGGGAGAGGATCCTAAGTCTCTGGTGAAAGGAGTGAACGGGTGCTGAGAGCTCGCTTGCTGCTCAGCCGTGTGCTCGTGTCGTGCTCTTGTGTTTGTTCTTTTTTCGCCCCCAGCGTGGGGCACCCTGTTTCTCCTTTTATAGGCGAAGAGAAAGTGTGGGTTACAGAGGAGGAAAAGAAGAAGAACAAGAGAGAGGGAATGTCGGGGACCAAATACTGGGGTACCCAAAGAGGAGGAGCTAATAACCATCAAACGTTGATGCTTCCGAACAGATAAGAACGCGACTACACCTCTTGCCCAACGACTGAGGGTTAACTCCGTCTCGTCTGACCTACAAAGGTTGGTTCTGCCTCGCCCGACCCCTGAGGGCTGGCTCCGCCTCGCCCGACGTCTGAGGGCTGGCTCCGCCTCGCCTGACCCCTGAGGACTGGCTCCGCCTCGCTCTATGTTCGAGGGCTGGCTCCGCCTCGCCCAACGCCTGAGGGCAGACTCCGCCTCGCCCGACCCCCGGGGGCAGACTCTGCTTCACCCGACGTCCGAGGGCGGGCTCTGCCTCACCCGACATCTGAGGGCTGGCTCCACCTCGCCCGATGTTCGAGGGCAGGCTCCGCCTCGCCCGATGACTGCGCGCTGCTCCTTCATAATTACGCGCCCAGATAAGGCAGGTCACTCAAGTCAACCGCAATACCGAGGCCCATACCCTGCACGCCTATAGGAAAGTACCGATAGGATATGATAGGACGGGCGCTTTAAGCCCTTCTAGGCATGTCAGAGCCCGAACAGTGTTGTGGGCGTCGACATTTGTCTTACAGTGTTATGGGTGCCGGCATTTGCCCTTGGGCACGGATCTTGACGGAAGCATACGACAACCACTACGGTCTAGGAGAAAACTCACATCATCTACAGTAATGGACGTGGGGTCACTACGTCGTCTGCTCCCCGTAGGATCGTGGTTCAGCACCCTGGTCCGTCGCGCCGCCTGCCGGGACAGGATGGGACGTGACCACTTGCTGACAAAGCCAGAGCATGGCCCTATCAGGATCAGCGGATATGCACCCAGCATGGAGCTATCTCTAGCACCGTCTGCCGTGTCAGCGGGGCTCGCTCAAAGGAAAAGGAAGACTCGGCATCTTTGAAGGACCTCCTTGACCTCTAGCTTTTCTTCTTTCTCCCATCTGTAATCCCTGCTTCCCATTGGTCTATAAAAGGTGAGGCAGGACACCCCACTAAGGGGATGGACCGATTCAACATACCACGCATCACACCACATAGCTAAGCAGCATCTAAGCTCTCAGCACCCGTTCGACCTTTCCATCAGAGACTTGGGACCTGTCCCTCTCTCACTAGTTTGTACCCTCTACTACAAACTTTTCAGTGCAAATAACACGAGCAGCTACCTTGAACTGGACGTAGGGACATTCTGCCCGAACCAGTATAAACCTTGTGTCTTTTTAGCACACCATCCAGGTCAGACGCGCAATAATACAAATTTACTTGTTGGTGTTTACTTGAAACACCGACAGTTGGCATGCCAGGTAGGGGACCTTTGCGCGTTCCAACATTAACATCAGGCCACGGATGGCTAGCTATGGAATCAGCTGGGTCCCAGGCGCACACGTGCGCTTCGGTGACCTGGACTTCATCGTCACGGTGGGAGGAGAGTTGGCATTGGCTCATGCCGCCATCCAACCTCTCCCCTCCATTGGCCTCAACTATGGGAGGCTTGAGCGCCAGCTCGGCGTCTCCCTGGGACCCCAGCCATCCAGGGAGGACCCGCGCCTCCTCACCTTCTTCGACGCCAACGTCATGGCGTGGCTCACCGGAGGGGAACCCCTCGCTCCGGAACACCCCATATGGAGCGCCCCGACAGTGCTTCCGTTCGGTCTCCGCAACGCTGCGGCAACCGTTAGCCACCTTGTGGCACAACGCATGATCCCACCTCCCACGAACAACGAATTCGTGGGGGTGATCGAACACGTCGTGGAATCTTTCCACGACCTCCTAGCAGAGGAGCCAGAGTCACCCTCTGGCTCTGACTCCAGCAGGGGAAGCCATCACCCCTCTCGTGAATGCTTCATGACGGGTACCCCCGAGGGGCACGTCGAAAG